CTGCGGCGGCGCGGAGTGCGCGAGAATCGAGCAGGGGAAGATCGAGGATCGGGGAGGGGAGGCTCGCGCACCGAGGAGGGGAGGCTCGAGGAGCGAGGAGCGAGAAGGGGAGGGTCGAGGAGCGAGGCGTGGAGGAGCGAGGAGCGAGGACCGATGAGGGAAGGATCGAGGACCGAGGATCGAGGGCCAAGGATCGGAGCGGCAGCCAGCGAGTGTCTGCCAGTGGGGGCTGGGGGCGGCAGCACTGGTCGCGCCCTCAAGCCTGCGCGCGTGCCGCGCGGGGTCGGTTGGTCTGGGGCTCGCTCTCACTCGCCTGGCCCCAGTGGGCACTGACGTCCTGAAGTGGCACGAGTGCCCGGGCCGCAGACAGGGAGGGGGGGGAAGAGAATGAAGGAGGGAGGGAGGAAGAGGAACGAAGTGTATAAGGACGATTGTCAAGACAGGTCGGGCGAAACCTCAAATCCACCTCGTCCAGCAACTGCTTCTACTACTCCTCCTCTTCCTGCTGCTCCTCCTCCTCCTCATCATCATCGTCATCATCCTCCTCATCCTCGTCATCCTTGTCCTCGTCACCACACTGCCTTGCTCGTCCGAGCATCGCAGCCACATTGCAAGCTGTCGAGCATGTAGCCATGTGTTTCCTCCTCCTCCTCCTCCTCCTCCTCCTCCTCCTCTTCCTCCTCCTAATCCTCCTCCTCCTCCTCCTCCTCCTCCTCCTCCTCCTCCTCCTCCTCCTCTTCCTCCTCCTCCTACTACAGCTCCTCCTCCACATCGCCCCCCTCCGTCTGCTCCCCCTCTTCCATCCCCTTCATCCTCACATTCCTCTTCCTTCTCATCCTCCCTCCTTTTCATCCGTCCTCCTCATTCTTCCTTCTCATCCTCCTCTTCCTTCCTCCTCCTCATCGTAATCGTGTCCTCCTCCTCAGCAGCAGCAGCATAAGCATCAGCATCAGCATCAGCATCAGCATCAGCATCAGCATCAGCATCACCACCACCACCACCACCACCACCACCATCATCATCATCATCATCATCATCATCAGCAGCAGCAGCAGCAGCTGCAGCATCATCATCAGCATCATCATCAGCATCATCAACATCAACATCAGCATCACCATCATCACCATCATCATCACCACCACCATCATCATCATCATCAGCATCATCATCATCATCATCATCATCATCATCATCATCATCATCATCATCATCGTCGTCGTCGTCATCATCATCATCATCATCATCATCATCATCATAATGATCATCATCATCATCATCATCATCCTCGTCATCATCATCATCAACATCAACATCATCATCATCATCATCATCATCATCATCATCATCATCATCATCATCATCATCATCATCATCATCATCATCGTCGCCATCATCATCATCATCATCAGCATCATCATCATAATAATCTGCATCACCATCATCATCGTCATCATCAACAACATTTTCAGCATCATCATCATCATCATCATCATCATCATCATCATCATCATCATCATCCGTATCATCATCATCATCCTCATCATCATCCTCATCCTCATCATCAACATCAAAATCAACTCCGTCGCTGTCGTCGTCGTCACCATCACCATTACGAGCATAATCATGATCGTCGGCATCATCATCAACATCAGAATCATGATAACCAAAAAAATCATCAACATTATTATTATCATCATCATCATCAGCATCATCATCGTCATCATCATCATCGTCATGAGGATCATCATCAGCATCAGCATCAGCATCACAATCATCATATCATCATATCATCGTCATCATGGTCAGCATCATCATCAGCATCAGCATCACCATCATCGCCATCTTCTGCATCATCATCATCATCAGCATCATCGCCATCATCACTATCATCATCATCATCATCATCATCATCATCATCATCATCATCATCATCATCATCATCACAACCACCATCATCATCAGCATCATCATCGTCATCAGCATCATCACCAACATCATAAGCATCATCATCATCATCCCGATCATCCTCATCAGCCTCCTCCTCCTCATCCTCCTCCTCATCCTCATCTTCATCCTCATCATCACCATCATCATCAGCATCGTCTCCGTCACTGTCGTCGCCGTCATCCTCATCATCATCATCAGCAGCATCGTCATCATCATCATGATCATTTGCATCATCATCATCAGCATCATCATAATCATCCTCATCATCGTCCTCATCCTCATTCTAATCCTCATCCTCATCCTCGGTTGCGGGTGGGTCGCGGAGCGGTCGCTGGGTGGGTCGCGAGGTGGGTTCACAGGTGGGTCGCGGGCGGCGTGTCTCGGGAGCGTCGTGGGGTGGTCGAGGGCGTGTCGCGGGTAATGAGGTCGCGGGCCGGTTCGCGGGAGGGTCGCGGGTGGGAAGCAGGCGGGTCGCGGGGAGTTGCGGGCGGGGCGCAGGTCGGTCGAGGGGGGGGCGCGGGACAAAGACGGCGACGACAACGGGAATCCGCATCGCGGAGCCCCCTTTCGGCCCCGCACCCAGGAACAATGTGAGAGCCACACCTCACCAAGAACAGCGGGCCCCTCTCGGAGACGTCTGCCAGCCCTCATCTCAGGTTCCGTTCAGTTGGTGCTGATCCCTGAGGTTCGTCACAAAGTTTCGCCTCTCTCTGCTCCAGGCTGAGATCCCGTCCTCCTCCCTTGGCTGACCCCTCCAGGAAGGGAGGACAAAGACGACGAGGGCGAGGGACGGCACTCCGAAGAAGTCCGTGGAGGCCCCCAGACGCCCCCTGGAGGCCCGAGAGAACAACAACAACAACAACTCAAACATTGAACTTCGTTCTCCTTGGCGACATGAATGGCGACGACGACGACGACGACGATGACGACGACGACAACGACGACAACGACGACGACGACGATCACGACGACGACTGCGGCGGCGACGGTGGCGGCGGCGATGGCGGCGACGGCGACGACGACCACGACAAATACGACGAATGCGACGACGACGACGACAACAAGAGCATCAATAACAACAACAACAACAACAACAACAACAACAACAACCACAACAACAAGAACGAGGCGCAGTTGACCGGCCCGTCCACTGGGGAGCTCCACAGCGCCTCCTCCCCTAGGGACAAGGCCGACTTGACCGGCCCGGGGGCAACCGCGGGACCCCAGCAACCCCAGCAACCCCAGCAACCCCAGCAACCCCCAGCAACCCCGAAAGCTTACCTCCACAGACCAAGCTCTCAACGCTACGTCCTCCATGCGGATTCTGACAGCACGACGCGTGTGCGCACCGGTGCAGCGAGCTCTTGAGGAATCCTATAGGATCCTCGAGAAATCCTATAGGATCCTATAGGAAATCCTATAGGATCCCTTAGGAATACTATAGGATTCCTTAGGAATCCTATAGGAATCCTATAGGATCCCTTTGGAATCCTATGGGATTCCTTAGGAATCCTATAGGAATCCTATAGGATCCCTTAGGAATCCTATGGGATTCCTTAGGAATCCTATGGGATTCCTTAGGAATCCTATAGGAATCCTATAGGATCCCTTAGGAATCCTATGGGATCCCTTAGGAATCCTATGGGATCCCTTAGGAATCCTAGAGGATCCCTTAGGAATCCTATAGGATTCCTTAGGAACCCTGTGGGATCCCTTAGGAATCCTATGGAATCCCTTAGGAATCCTATAGGATCCCTTAGGAATCCTATAGGATTCCTTAGGAACCCTGTGGGATCCCTTCGGAATCCTATAGGATCCCTTAGGAATCCCATAGAGGAGCTCTATGAGCTCTATGAGGAGCTCTGCTAGGATCCTATAAGATCCTATAGGATCTATAGGATCCTCTAGAAGTCCTATGAAATCCCATAGGAAATCCTATAGGATCCTATAGAAATCCTATAGGATCCTATAGGAAATCTATGAAATCCTATAGGATCCTCTAGAAATCCTATAGGACCCTATAGGATCCTATAGGACCCTATAAGATCCTATAAGATCCCTTAGGAATACTATAGGATTCCTTAGGAATCCTATAGGAATCCTATAGGATCCCTTAGGAATCCTATGGGATCCCTTAGGAATTCTATAGGATCCCTTAGGAATCCTATGGGATCCCTTAGGAATCCTATGGGATCCCTTAGGAATCCTATAGGATCCCTTAAGAATCCTATGGCATCCCTTAGGAATCCTATAGGATCCCTGAGGAATCCTATGGGATCCCTTAGGAATCCTATAGAATCCCTTAGGAATCCTATGGGATACCTTAGGAATCCTATGGGATCCCTTAGGAATCCTATAGGATCCCTTAGGAATCCTATGGGATCCCTTAGGAATCCTGTGGGATCCCTTAAGGATCCGATGGGATCCCTTAGGAATCCTATGGGATCCCTTAGGAATACTATAGGATTCATTAAGAACCCTAGAGGATCCTATGGGATCCCTGAGGAATCCCTTAGGAATCCTATTGGATCCCTTAGGAATCCTATAGGAATCCTATGGGATCCCTTAGGAATCCTATAGGAATCTTATAGGATCCCTTAGGAATCCTATGGGATCCCTTAGGAATCCTATGGGATCCCTTAGGAATCCGATGGGATCCCTTAGGAATCCTATAGGATCCCTTAGGAATCCTATAGGATTCCTTAGGAACCCTGTGGGATCCCTTCGGAATCCTATAGGATCCCTTAGGAATCCCATAGAGGAGCTCTATGAGCTCTATGAGGAGCTCTGCTAGGAGCTCTGTTAGGTTAGGCTCTACTACGAGCTCTACTACGAGCTCTATTAGGAGCTCTACTACGAGCTCTAACACGAGCTCTACCACGAGCTCTAATACGAGCTCTATTAAGAGCTCTACTACGAGCCCTACTACGAGCTCTACTACGAGATCTACTACGAGCCCTACGAGGAGCTCTACTTCGAGTTCTACCACGAGCTCTACCACGAGCTCTACTACGAGCTCTACCACGAGCTCTACTACGAGCTCTATTAGGAGC